CGCCGCAGCGCATCCATCCCCGCTGCCTCCCCGGACCCCTGCTCGCCCCAAGGACTCGTGCCATGAGGCCACCTCACCGCACTGTCCTCCACCCCTGCTGGCCCCTTGTGCTGCAGACGAGGTGATTTATTGCTCCACAGCCCGCCAGGCAGCCAGGCTGCAGGGGGGTGAGCGGTGGCTCCCGATTTCTGCAGAGCCACATCCAACACCGCGATGAGTTTGGGGCTCTCGGGCAGCGCCAAAACCCAGCCCTGATTCAGGGAAGGACTGACCTCAGCAATGGGCAGAGGGGAGCACTTGGAGGGGAGTTGGCTGAGGTTTCTGGGAGTGAGGGAACATGGCTGGGATGTTGGAGCCCAGGGCTCTGCTCTGCCTCTGGCTCTCCAGCAGCCCTGGGCATCACCCAGGTGTTGATGGCTGATCCATAAACATCAACATGTTTATTCCCCATGGCTGGGGAAGGGACGGCTCCCTGGCAGCCCTAGGAAAGATGCCAGCACCCAGGAAACACTGCAGGACACATCTGGATTTGAGCACAGCCAATGAAGTCCGGCTGTTGTCTGGTCAGGGTGGTGCATGGGAGCACCTTCCCTTTCTTAGGGTCTCCGTGCACCCTCACAGGCCTCTCCCATGGGATCTGCACCTGGTTTCATGGCAAACTCAGCTGAAGCCATCAGGAGGCTCAAATTCTGGGCAGGGAGGGTGGCAGCTCACACCTCCAATACCCACCAGCTCCCCTCTCAAGTGCTTTGCTGCATCAGGGAGGTGGCTGGGCAGGCACTGCCACCCTGTGCTGCTCCACATTTTTGTCTGTGAGCATGGCCCTTCCCACAGGCCATGCTTTGGAACAGATGGACACACCCGGTGTGCACACCAGGGCTGGCAGGTGCCCTCAGGAATCCGGGGCTTAAACGGTGCATGTCTATATAAAGGGATGTTTCTGTCCTAATTTACAGGTTTTTAAATAATATCCAGGCTCTAGATGCCAGGCAGGCTTTGTAACACGTGGCAGGGTCAGGACTGAGCCATGGGTAATGTGGACTTGGATTTACTCTCCAACTAGAAGTTGTCCTTGCTGGAGTGCTGGGGGAGGGATCAGAGGAAGGATTTTTAGTGCTGCCTTGGTTCTGCCCTTGAAGACAGGTTGTTCAGACAACAGCAGCTTTGTGGACACAGAAAGGGCATCAGCAGAATGAATTTCCACATGGCCCCAGGGCTATGACTGTACTGCAAGGACTGTGATTCTTTTTCCCCTAGCCTCCCCTCCTCTTCACTCCAACATGCCTTTCCTGTGCCCTCTCCTTTCTGCTTGATGGGAAGCCCTCTTCCTTTGGACGAGTTTGGGGCAGCAGGAGCAGCCTGGCTGGACAAGGTATCACTTCTCTTTGCAGAAGCAGCTTGAGAGCTTTGGTGGTTGAACAGGAGACAAAACAAATAACAAAAACATCCAGCAGGTCACAGGTGATGAAATCCCCACCCTGTCCTCCGAGGGGTCTGTAAAGCAGATGCCTAGGAGGGATGGAAGATGCTGTGGACATTGCTCTCCAGGCCCAGTGCAGAGCCAGCCCTGAGCTCATCCATGGAGCAGTGGCCCTGGGGACAGTGGAACCTCTTCCCTTTCCTTGTCTGGCTGATGGATAGGATGATTTTAAGAGAGTTTAGTACATGATAGGGCTGCCAGGTTTGGATCCACATCCAATTATTTTCACAGCTCATTTTATGGCATTTCCTGCCAAGGGATGTGGACCATGGCTGCCAGGACTGAACCTTTCTTTGGAGGGAGGATTGAGGCTGGAAGGTGCTCAGCAGCCCAGAAGCCATCTGGAGACCTGGGGTACCACCAACAATGGGGTACTGGGGGATGCCTAAGAGATACCTTGGGGATAGAGGGGCCCAGACTTCTTCTAATTCTCCTTTTTTCCAGTTGCAGACAGTTCGCATGTGGGAAGTGTTTAATTTAGAAAGGCAAGCACTTCTGTTTCACATTCCTGTGTCGGTCTCTGTTGGTTTATGACCAGTGAAATCCTGGTGTGAAAACAGAATCAGGCTTTGATTTCATCTGCCCCTGCTGTTTTACACCACTAACAGCTTTGCATTTCGATAGCAGCTTTTATTCTAGGAGCTAAATGGGCTTCACAGACAGCCAATTAATTAATTGAGCCTCCCCAGCCAGCCTGTGCCCTCAGTGGCACAAGGAAGCATTTGCAGAGGAGGAAACAGAGGCAGAGGAGGAAAATGAGGCAGAGGCCCCAGCTAAAGAGCTGGGCTGCTCTCACTGCACTGGCTGGGCCATTGCTCCCAGTTCCATGGAGATGGTCCTGATGCCATTTCCAAACTGGTATGGGAATGGTCTCGATGCAGAGAGCAGCTGAGGAAGTTCTTTGGGTATCTATCAGTGACTGTCAACACTGGAGCACCTGAGCCCAAATTAATTCATGAGCTGCCATCACTTTGGACCACCCCAGCTTCTTGATAAGGAATCCTGTGAGACCATGAAACAGTGTCAGGAGGCCCCACTACTGTTTCCATCACCCATCCTTGCTGACCAATTCTTCTTTCTCCTGATGGGACCTTGAGCAACCTGATTTAGTGGGTGGCATCCACTCCCCATCCCAGGGAGTTGGAACTAAATGATAATGACTTTTTATTCTATATTCCTAGATGATTTTTAAGGTCCCTTCCCACCCAAACCATTCCTATGAGGAGGCATTCAGGGTTTGCAAGGAAAGGTTATTTCAGCTGAAGGGTTTGCTTTGGTCCAGGTGCTAGAGCTGAGATCCGGGGACTAAACAAGAGACAGGTGACCCTCAACTCCCCCCTCCAGGTCCTGTTCACTGCCTGGTGAACAAGAAACAGCCCTGGGAAGCTTGTGTGCTGTAGGCAGGATCTGGGGCACCTGGAGGAGGTGGAGGAATGTGCCTTTGATCAGGCAAAGACTAAATGCATTCCTGGAGAAATTACCTGCCTTTTATTATGAAATCCTGCTAATGGTTTGTTGTCTACACAAATAACCACGGGGAATGAACTCGTGCACTTCCCAGCCTGCTCTGTGTCTTCCTGGCTCAGCTCCTTTCTGAACAAACATAACCTTTTGCAAGAATACCTGTCAAAATCGCTTTGAAATATTGAAATAACAGGATGGGATATGGTTTGCTCCTGGGCCCTAGTGCTCATCCATCAGGACTTAGGATGTCCATCCAAATCGACTTGTGAGCAGGATGCAAGGAAAAAAACTGGCAAGCAGCAGTGCCTCACAGGGCTGCATTTGGGGAGCTTAGCACCTCACCCCTCTGTGCTGGCTCCCTGCATTCCCACGCACTCACCTGGGAGCAGGGCAGCTCTCAGACCCTCATGAAGCCCTCATTTTTTGTTGGTCATGGGGTGGATGAGACATAGGGGCTTGTGACTCAGCTGGAGCTGCTCAGGAAGGACAAAATAGTGTTCTTTGGCCACCAGTGTGGCCTGGGAGTGCCTTCATGGCCTCAGCACCTCCCTTCTCACCTCATGTGAGTATTTTAGAGACAGGGCAAAAAGCTGTGGAGTCTTGGAACAGTGTTGGACAGCAATGGTTGAGGGGCATGTGGCTGCTTGGGGTGGACCCATGGACACAGAGCCATCCCCTTCCCTTCCAGCCTCTGAGCGCCAAGGGCTGCCCAGGGGCTGCCCAGGGTGTCTCAGTTTGGGCAAGCTGTAAATGCTGAGTGTCTTTTACCTCAACAGCAAAATCATCCCTCCATTCTCTCCTTCTCTGCAGAGCAGCAAGAGGCTTTGTGCTCTAACTCATCACCAGCTCCCCACCCTGAAAGTGGGGGGATAATCCACCCCTCAGTGGCTGGTGCCAAGGGCCACCACTGCCCAGACACATCTGTTTGGAGGCAGAGACCAATCAATACCTTATGATTTGCAGGAGATATCCCATTGTATGGTGGTACCTGCTCAGCCAAAAGCCCTTCACTTCTCATCCCCTTCCCAGTTCCTGGTGGTGATGGTCCCCCACCTGGAATAAGGTGAGGGATTCTATTTTCAGGGGTACCAGACTTTTTCTTCAATGCACTTGGAAGTGATGAGAACTTGGACACAGACAATTGGTAGAAGAAATCCACCAAACAAAAGACTTAGAAATCCAAACACTTCCCCCCTCCAAAAGATATCCCATCAACCAACCAACCAACAAAAAAAGTCCTTCAAATAAAACTCCATCTCTTTCTCTAAAATCCATGATTAAAACCTGGTACAAACAGATGAATATAGATATATATATTTTTTTTAGTAGATGTAGTATTTTTTTTCTCCTCTCTCTTTCTCATTATACAGCAAACATTGCAAATATAGAAATTTTCTCTGTACAATTAACGACTTCGGTTTACAATGCAGTGTGTGGTAAAACCTCTTAGTGAGTGAAAATGTGAACGGGCCTTCAACCGGGTAAAAGTCTAAACTGGAAGACTCCGTTTGCAAAAACAGCCCAAAAGATGGAGCTCCTTCTGGTCTCTTTTTGGTTTTTGTTGCTGTTTTTGTCGCTGTTGATTTTGGAAGGGAAGGAAGGAAGAACACAAACTGTTCACAAAGAATCCACAAAATCACGGAATAGGGACTCATGCAATGCAATATTGGAAAACGCCAGACCTCAGCTCTCTGCCCGCCCTTTCATTTTCATTTTATATTCAATTTTTTCTTTTTTCTTATATTTTTTTAAAAAATCAAAATGAAACAAAACTTTTTTTTTTCCCACTCCACAGTTTGTTTGCTTTGCAAAGTTTGTGTTCAAATTTGGTGCATGTCTCACCAACGTGAGGACATTTTAATATCTCACTTTATATATTATATAGAATATTTATAGATTTTTCATTATTTGTTCTCTCTTTTATTTTTTTATTGATTCTCTCTTTTTTTTTTTTTTTTCCATTTTTATTTTGTTTCAAAGACAGTCTGAATAAAAATAGCTGCTGCGGATTTCTTTTGGTCCAGTTAGTGTGTTAAGTCACGAGTTGTGTGAGGACTCAGGACTTTTGCTGGGCAGAGACGCCCTTCCAGTAGTCTAAGATGTCGTGAAGATCCTCGTCTTTGGCAAACTGGACCTTTTTGCGTAGGGCATGGCCGGCTGCCATGTACTCCTCCTCGTCTTTGTGCCGCTTGCGGTTGAGTTTGAAGCGCTCCCAGATGCTGTGCGATGGTTTGCAGGTGTACTCCGGGCTGGAGGTGTAGCTCAGGTTGTGGTACTGGGGCGAGAGCTGGGAGTAGGCCAGGTCTCTGGGGCGAGGACGGGTCAGAGGCTCCAGGATGGAGGGTTTCCTCCCGCCCATGCTGTCGTGCTGCTCCCCCGGGTGCGAGCTGGGGTACGAGTGCCGGTGTTCGCTGTACTGGCGGATCTTCTCCGCCTCCGCCCGCAGGATGGCCGCGGTCGGCGTCACAGTGAGGATGGTGTCGGTGGTGGGGGATGTCTTCTCAATGTATTTGGCTTCGGATTTGTGGCCCGATCCCTCGGAGCGGTAGGACCTGGGGCTCCGTATGGAGCCACTGGAAGAGGTGCTGGAGCGTTTGGGGGCCGCCTCCATGCTGTGGTGTCGCTGGAGAGGGTGGTTGTAGCTTTCCTTGTAGACGGGGGAAAGGAACCCGTGCTTGCTGGGGATCTGCTCTGATAAGAGCACCAGCTGAGGCTCCACTGTGGAGACTGCCCCAGACTTCACCCCTTGGAAGGAGGTGGACTCGGATTTCAAGGCATCGATGCAGTTGTTGATGATCTGGTTCACCTTGTCCACCTCCTTGGCAATGGTGGAGATCTCAGCCACAGAGCCCTGGGTGTCTGGCGGCAGGGACAGTTCACAGTCTCGCCTCTCAGGCTGCTCACCCGTCCTCACCTCCATGTAGTTGCCCTTGGTGGCCTTGGGGGTCTCGCTGCTCTCAATCAGCTTGTACTGCTCGACCTCGCCAGCAGAAGGGAGGTAGGGGATGCGGGTCACTGTCTCCCCACCCAGTATCTGTCCCTGGGACAGCTGGGTGATGCTGGTGGTCTCCATTTCTGGCCCGTACTTCAGCTCGATGATGGTTTTCTTCATGCTGCCGGCAGCCTTTTTGTGCTTCTCCTCCTGCTGGCGCCTCTTCCGGAGGCAGTAATACACCACGCCCAGGACAATCACCATGCCAAAGAGACAGCCCAGGATTGTCATGATATAATGGGTGGCAGTGGAAGGGGTGGGCACCGGCTCCTTGCGGTTGGGTCTGGTGGGGGTGATGGTGACACAGGTGTGGTTGTACTTGGAGTACTGGTGAACAGAGACCACACAGTAGGTGTAATCTCTCTGTGCTACTAGGTTGCTCACGGTGATGTTCTCCTCCTTCTTCCTGAGCTTGGTGATCATGGAGGAGAAGCCGTTTTCGAACTGGGAGAGGATGTACATCTTGCTGAAGGGGTAGGGGATCTGCACGGTGAGGACGGCCGAGTTGTGGTTGAGGTGCTTCACCTGGATGTTGGGGCGCACCTCCGTCTCACCGATGGGCGTGAACAGGGAGAACTGCGGCGTCGTGCCGTCGCCGGAGGAGCACTCCTCCTCGGAGCAGGGGCTTTCGGAGGGCACCGTGGTCACCTGGTACCTGGGAGGGATAAAACGAGGGATCACAGTGTAGGAGCCACCAGTGCAAAGGGAAGAGAGCATGCTCAGAGCATTGCGGTAGCCAGTCCGGCCTTGGCCTAACAAGTAGTAGCCCATGTAGTCGGGCGGGGAGTCGCACTGCATCCGGTCGTAGGTGCGTGTCATGTTGGTGAAAGCCTCCAGCCATTGCAGGAAGCCGAGGAGCTCGCAGGAGCAGTAGAAGGGGTTACTGTAGAGTTCACAGACAGAGAGCTTGTTTAGGCCCCGAAAAGTGTTGCTGTCCAGTCTCTGGATCCTGTTCATGGACAGGTCAATGTTCACTATGTTGGGGCACTCCCAGAAGGCATTGGGGGTGACGGTCTCGATGAGGTTGGCCTGGAGATAGAGGTACTCCAGCTTCCCCAGGCCCCGGAGGATGCCCTCGGTGAGGTTCCTCAGTCGGTTGTAACCCAGCTGCAGCACCTGGAGGTTGAACTGTCCTGAAAAGGCACCGTCCTCGATGTAGGAGATCTCGTTCTTCGTCAGGTTGAGGTATGTCAGGTTGCCGAAGCGGCTGAGCGAGGCGTACTGCACGCTCTTGATCTTGTTGTCGTTCAGCCGCAAGTCCACGATGGTGCTGTTGATCTGCTGGGGGATGGACTCGTAGGGAGGCTGGTTTTGGCTGCAGATGGCCAACCAGACGAAGCCCTTGTCCCCCTCGATGAGCCAGCAGTCCGCCCGCACCCCGCCGGCGTGCAGGAGAGACACGGCCGCCACGCACACGCAGAGGGCTGACGTCGCGGCCCACCGGCGACCTGCCATCTGGAAGGGCAGCCCGGAGAAGGGGTTCCTGGTCTGCTGGAAGTGGGGAACAGGACAGGGGCCGGGAAGGTGTGGGCTAGTGCTCCTTCGGCAGCTTTGCTCGCCTCTCCCTTCTCCTCATGGCTCGGAGACGGGAGGGAAGCGTCCCTGGAGAAAGCGGACCTCGGTGCCCACGGTACTCGGCAGCCAGCAGCCAGGGGCTGCTACCAAGGTCTTGGTGGCTGAGGCTGGTCCCACATCACCAGGCCTCTGGCATCTCGAGGAGGGAGTCATGAAGTTAAGCGCCTGTGCAGAGGAGTTGTTCAGGCTTAGAGACAAGCCTTCCTCTCATTTTTTATAGTACTTCTCCTCGTTTTCTTTTTGCTGCACATCGTGGCGCTGGTCCCCATCTCCCTGTGCCTCCTTGTGTTCGACTGTCCCCTCTCAGTCCCTCGGCTCACCTGCTCAAAACAAAACACAAGCACAAACTAAGCACAAAGGAAAGACAGTCAGTGGTCAGAGTCATAGGTGTTGGAGACCCATCCAACTCCCCTCTTAGTCAGGCACTCGCCTTCTCATTCTGGCAACCACCTTTCAAGGAGTCTTTGGTTTATTTGGCTCCCACCAGCGCTGTTTGGCAGCACAAGGGGAGGTGGTCACTGACCACTGAGGTCACCCTCTGAGCCCTTGTCCAGCATCACTTATTTGGCAGTTGAGAGACCAACACATATCCAGTGCACTGTTTGTCTGACCTATTTAGGTGTCTACCTGAGGAGGAGAGGAGTGATGCCCCAGAAGTGTCTGTTCCTCTCTGCTGAGAGCAGATGAAGTCTAGACAACTCGCTCTGATGTAGATTTGATGCTGCAGCGTTTTGCTGAGGGGAATCCTGACTGTCTCGTGTGCTGGTGTGCGCAGCAGCAGTGCCCACACAAGGGATGCTGGTCGAGGACACCGTGTCTCTCTGCCTGCACTGCCATGTGGCATCTGCAATACAGCCCAGCATCAAACCCTTCTCCTGTTTCTGGGAACCTGAGCAGTCGTTTCAAGGCACTGTGCAAAAGCCACGGGTGTGATTGTGAACCACCCAGTGTCCTTGTCACTGGTTGGGGCTTGCTGCCTTTCTCCCAGGTGAAATGATGCAGAGGTGTGGAAAACCAGCATTCAGTGGCATAACAAGAGCATTTGCAGAGGATGGAACAAGACCTTGCCTCCCCAGGCAGAAACAGCTGTTTCTAGGAAATGTCTTCACTAGACACAAACCTGTGGGACTGCCAGCAGCCTCACTGCCCACAGAGAAACTCATTTCTGGCTCACATTTTCCATTTTTCCCCCCTAAATTTTTGACTAAGCATAAATTTCCATGAACAGCTCTTACTTCTTTTTCTGGTTTCTTAGGGAAACAGGAAGGCAAATGTGGAGAGGTGGGAAATGCATGAGCACCAGCACCTCTTGGGTCGTGCTTTTCCACAAGAGATTGGAAACATCATCTGTGGATATCTCTATTGCCAAAAGGAACTCTGGGCTGGTAGGATGGATGCAGTGAGATGTTATGGCAGAGATGGAGTTGCCCACAAATTGAGAGAAATCATCATGGCCTATCTAGAAAAATCCTTCTTTGAACCTTTTTTTTTTTTGGGAACGGGAACACTATCTCCCTTGTCCAAGGGCAGACTGTAGAAACCAGGGAAGACAGCACCAATACTCCTTGGATACATAGCTGGTAAGAACTGGAGGTGTCTTGGGAAGCTGTGAAGGAGATAGGGCCACATCTTACATCCAAATTGTCTTTCATTAAATCTGAAAAATAGTATAAACCAGGAACAGTTTTCCAAACCATTTCACAGTGCCCAGGGTGGACTGTTCTTGGTGCTACATATCTGAAAATCGTGTGGGGCTGATTGTTTAGAGGCAGATGCTATACTCTGACCCTTGTCCCAAAGAAACCAGGTTCTTTTCCAGTCACAATACCAGGCAGGGAAGGAGGCCATATTTTACTGCAGAGATCCCTGTTCACCAGTCAGTTTACACCTTGGTAAACAGGCCAGCAATAATAAGCAGTAACACAGTTTATTTGGTTGGACTGTGAACAATGAGTCTGTTCCCTGGTGACAGGTTTCCATTACATGAATAACAAGACCTTCTCTCACATCAGCTCTCAGCACACGAGACTTTCCAGCCACCTTGTCCTCTGTGTGCTGTCACTGCCCTGGGATGTTCTGCCAGTACCTGGAAGTCCATTTTAACATAGCTAAATCCTTGGAGCCAGCAAGAAAGGGAAGAGGGACTGTGGTCCCTGGGAGATTGCAGGTGAGTTCCCCCCCTTGCCACCCCCACAGCGAGACACTGGCTGCAGTGCCAGACTGAAACACGTCTGCTGCTGCATCCCTCTGGTGCTAGACAACTCAATTAACCTCTCTGCACTCCAGCCTCCTCTCTGGTACCGTGAGATAATGACAGCACTTCACGGGGTGGTGGGAGACTGAAGCAAAGTGCCCTGAGCTCCTCTTGTTGGGGTGAAAATCCCAGCACATGCATTGTGTTGCAGGTGGAGACTTTCTCTCTAGGTGTGCCAGCTCTCCTCTGCCACAGGGAGCAGCCTCGTGTCCAGCTCCTCCTGCATCCTGTGGGGATGTGTACTGTCCCTAAGGGTGTGGGATGAGGGTATTCCTGGCCTGCAGAGCCATAAGCAATGGCTTGCTCAAGTGGCACCTGGTTCCAGCATCTCCCTGTCCTCCTCCATGGACTCGTGGATTCCTGCAGGTAGGGGAAGCCCTGCCAAACTGAGCACAGGCAGCAGGAAGGGATGCACTTGGCATATTCTCTTCAGCAAGCACTTATTCTGTCTCCTCTATCTCCCTTTGTGACCCAACCACCCCGTCTGGGCAAATCTGTGTTTGGGAAGGCTCTGCAGAGCCTTTTCCTAGCTGAGGGATGTCCTCGTCACTCCTCCCTGGGGAAAGGCTGTGGGCAGAAGGCATTAGTGGAGTGGGACCATCCATGAGCAAAGAGCAGAGACAGACTCCCCACAGCTCTTGCCAGGCTGATCCCCTAGAGCCTTCCCCTACAGCCTTCCTCATCTAACTGGAGATGTTGAGGATGAAGAAGAGCAGCAGTAAATAACTCAAACATGTTCAACAAGGCTCCCACTGTATGTTTTCTCTTCTTTTCCATACATTGCCTATCAGCCAAGTCCTTCCCAACAACAGAAAGGAGAAATGGCATTTTATCAGCAGCCCGAGTTTAATTTCAGCTCATTAAAGCAAGCAATTTGCTGGTTTATTTGCTTTACAAAGTGTGAATAAAATGACAGCATTAAGGAGATGTGAGAGAGGAAAGAGGGGCTAATCTCCCTTTTTATTAGATTCTCAGGACATGACTGGTGAGTGGAGAAGTGGGTCTTGTTGCTTTGCACAAAAGGCTTAATTGTTCATCTCGTTGGCTTCTGAGAGCCTCCACCCCAGCCCGTGGTGGGTGTGTGCCAGAGGAACACCAGCACCGAGCATCCCTCAAGGATCCAGTGGTTTAACTCTCCTGCCTGCCTGATTCATCTTTGCCCAGTTGTCCCGAGTTTATTCTCCTGGTAACACAATTGCTCATTGCTTTTTCCAGTTCTCTGAACCCCCACAGAGCTGAGAAAGCCTGGGAATAGACCAGCACAACTCTCACATGAAAAGCAACCAGGAAAGTGGTGATTTGGGGGTCTCTTTTGCTGTTGGAGAATGAAGCAAAAGGAAGGAATGAAGACAGTGTGGAATAACAATAGAAATGTTTTGGAATGATGAGTTTAATCTCAGTCAGAGATATCGTGAGGTGTGGCACCATGGTGACAATGACAACAGGCCACATTCACAACAAGGTCATGGTAGGCACCCAGGAAATACCATTCCTGCAGTTACCTGTTTGCCTGTTACCTGTTACCTGCAGACACTGCTGTGATTCCCTTTCCTTCTGCTCTCAGGAGGCAGAGTGGTTTGATCAGCTGAGTTGATGTCAGGTTTTTGTGCTAACAGAGGCCAGCCAAGGGGCAATGACAACTCCTTCAGTCCTTGTTCCTCTTGCACGTTACCTGTGACATCCAGTATCTCTGCTGGAGCCCAGATCCGTGCTGCTCCCTGCTGATCCTCAGCCCTGACTGTGATATGCTCCCCTCCTACCCATCTCTGCTTCTCCAGCCCTGGTTCCTGTCAACAACCCAGCAGCAAAGAGGGATGGCTCGAATTTCGAGGCTGCATCCTGGACTGGATGAGCAGCAGCATCCTTATCCTGGCTGAAAACCCACAGCAAGGGAGGTGGAGAGAAAAAGGCAAAGCTGGAGCTTCAAAAACCAGTGCAAGCTGGCTGGGAAGTTTTTGCTTCCATTTCCCAACTAATGGCATCTTGGAAAATTAAACCAGAGCAGCAGCTGCAAGGAAGCAAACAAAGCAGCCATGGGGGCTGGGAAGGGAGCTGGCACTCAGTTCCTAATTTTGTTATTCTACTGAATGAGTTATTTCAAACTGTGGATTACATTTACTGAGGGAACACAAGATTACACATGCTAGTGCGTGTGTATACACACAGCACTGCTCCTCTCCTTGGCATTTCTGCATCTCCATAACTTCCTTTTCCTTAGCTGCTCCATCTCCAGCTTCTTTTAGATCCCCTTTCGCAGCCTGTTTTATCAAAAAATTATCCCCACTACAAAGAGAGCCAGAAGAAAATGGAAGTGCTACATTACAAACATTGAGTGTTGGTCACCCAAACAGGAGGGGAGGGAAAATTTGGCTAACTAGATTATAAAGGGAACCTTGGTTCTTCATTATGTGTAAGATAGTATGGAAAGGCAGCTCCAAGATGGCAGATAAAACCTTCCATAGTGATGAAATCACTGTAAATAGCTAATGTCCATCCTGTCTATGTCAGGTGGGGAAAGGAGGTTTCCAGGCAGGTTTTCCCCTCATTCATACTGTTGGTCTTTGTTCCATGATTCCTGCTGGGTGATGATGGTTAGAATCACAACCTCCCTGGATGATAAAGATGCTCA